TTTTTTTTCCTTTTCCTACGAGTTATGGCCCTGAGGGCCTATCTCCGCTCGTTAGCACTTGCACAAAAGACAAAACATATGGCAGTGTATGATTCCATGTTCTAGCTGAAGATTCATTCGAGTTTTAAACTCTTTTTTTTTTTTTGTTTTTTTTTTTGTTTTCCTTTTCCTACGAGCTGTGGCCCTAACGGCCTAGCTCCACTTGTCAGCACTTGCACAAAAGACAAAACATATGGCATCGTATGATTCCATGTTCTAGCACAAGATTCATTCGAGTTTGCAGATTTGGTGAGTAGTGAAGGGAAGCCCTGAAAATCACGTGGTGAGTTGGCCTGCTACTGCCCAGTGGTCCCATAACTGTTGAAACACGGACCTTGATGTGAGTCTACACCATATATAGTCCGCGTGCTTCTGCTATGCAGGTTGAGAGTTGCCTCCTTCACAGCGAGAGGGCCCTTGCTCTCTCTCTCTTGGCAGCCGACCAGGCAGGAGCCGCCGACCGTCGGGGGGGCCAACTCTGACCCTATGCCTAAAAAAAAAAGGAAAAAAAAAAAAAAAAAAAACTGAAGGGCTTTATTTGCAGTTTCATTTTCGAAAGGGAGGGGCATGTTCGGCCACCCCACCCTGTTAACAGGGGTCAAAATGTTTTATTTTTTTTACTGTTTTTAGTGTTTGGGCCCATAACACCACTTGTCCGAGGCCCAACACGCGAATTCCATTTTTTGGAATTCTCGGCGAAACCCCCGTTTTCGCGTTAAACGCGATTCAACGAGGGTCCAGGGGCCCATTGAATGGATGAACGGGCGTTGAATTCCGCCCGTTCTACGTTCAAAAGATACATAGTTGTTTTGTGTTGAATTCGATCTTCGTTTTGGAGGAGATTGCCGACCGCCTCAAGATGTGCTGCGTGAATGGACCACAAACGGATTTTGTATTGTTTTCTTTTTTTTAGTAGTACTTTTTTTTGTTTTTTTCGCTTTCTTTTCATTTGCTTGTTTTCGAATCTTCTATCAATGTTTTGTTTTGTTGCAATCCTGGATTGTTGAAGCATGATCGGTTCGAAGTCGCTCCATTTCTTTTGTCCTTCGGCGATGCATGAAGTCTCATGGGGGGGGGGGGGGGGG